ATGTTTCCGAAAAAAACATATTATTATGCATATTATATGCATAACATGCATATTATTAACTGTGCCCAGTAGTTTTTCTGAAAAAAAAAACCTGCTTCCCCTTTGGCTGGAGAAATGAAAAGTATGGAGAAACTCCTATATTCAATCTTCCCAGCCCACCAATAGGAGTAGAATGAATCATCCTAAGCAGATCTTCAGAATGATAAAATTTTTGACCAAAGCAGATTTCTGCATTGGAAGTCTTTATGGGCATTTCTTAATGCATGGTTACAAGACCAGTAATCATTGCTTAGCTGGAATGGGTCTGTAGGAAGAAAATCAGAGCTGCAGGAGAGAAAGGAATACCTATGGAGTCTTTGGATCCCATTGACCACTAGATGGCAACAAAAAAAGTAATACAGTAATTTTTAAATACACATTCTCTTTCCTGTCATCCAGTGGGCATCCAGATTGTTCCAACCAGTTGACCAAATTCTTATAAGTTTTGGTTTGGGTATTTCTTTTCTCCATATACAGGTTTATGAAAACAGTTGTCTGGCACATCTAAACCAATCAGTGTACTTTGAAATAAACTGTCAAATGTAATTTTTTGTGATTGAAAAATATATAAATGCTAAATGTCCAATATTGGCTATTTTTTCACCCATAAAATGGCCACTGTGGTAACCCTCCACTATCCATTACACTCCAGGGATACTTTTTTCCACCTTTGCTTACTTTTATCACTTTTCTGGCAAACAGCTCACTTCCAAAAAAGCATTAGGAAATAGATAGATAGATAGATAGATAGATAGATAGATAGATAGATAGATAGGTAGGTAGGTAGGTAGGTAGGTAGGTAGGTAGGTAGATAGATAGAACGAAAGAAAGAAAGAAAGAAAGAAAGAAAGAAAGAAAGAAAGAAAGAAAGAAAGAAAGAAAGAAAGAGATATGAACAACAGATTTGTGATTATTCTCATTTTACCTAGTGATAAAAAAAATAAGACCTAGGCAGTAGCAAAAGTGAAGCAGATAGTAGACAATGAACTTTTTATAAACTTCTTAACTAATCCTAAATGCCAATTTCTTACTCATTCATCATTCTTATATTGTTATATCTTTATCAAGCAGCCTGGAGGAAATGTGAGGCAAGAGGGAGACTATAAGCTCGTGCACAAGTTCTCTGTGGCAATTGCAAATCAGGCTGCTTTTATCCTATGGCACTTTGTGGTTTGCCATTATTATTATTATTTTTTTCTCTTCACTAGTTGTACATGCTGTAAAATGCCCTGTAGGTCATCTCATGTCTTAAGAGCATGAGGTATAAATCACCTCTTTCATTTTCTAATTCCTTCAGTTCATTCTACAAATCATTTGGTTTTGTTCATTCTGCTGCCATTCTGCATATAACATAGCCATTCACCTTCTTTGCTTTCTAAGAATGCCTCAGAGTCCTGTGTAGGACCTGGAAATGTTCTTCCAAATAAAGAGGATTATTAGAGACTCGCATGTTGCTGAGAAACTGCTGGGTTATTATAAGGTAATCATTAATTTTTAATTTTAAAATCTAAAGTTAGGTGGGGAAGGGCTCTGGGTGCTCATATTGGCCCCCATGGTGGAGTGATACAGTATTAGATATTGCAAGCTCTTGTGGAAAATTTCATTGGTAGCTTCGGATTGGCCTTAAATTCACTGAAGAAAGAACAGCATTTGGTTGTGAAATAGGTACTATATATTTCTTCACAGATCCAGATAAGATTGCTGGGCAAGAATATCATCACCCAACTCCTAGGAATTTAAATAAATACCACAGTTTAAAGAAATTGTACTTTTCTTACTTACTTAAGATTAAAGAAATCTTACTTTTTTCATCTTAGAATTCATTCCTGCTGAGTTTAGATGAGCTAGACATTACAATATCTGGCTCAAGGAATGTAGGTAGCCATACTTAGATTCCACTGTGACTAGTCCTTCCTTTTTAAAAATAGCAAAATCTCCTTATCATATCCTTCTACAAGACTAAAGACAACCAGAAATAACAGCATACAGTAGCAGTGTGAAAATGAATGTTTTATGATATGGGAATTACTGCAGAAAAATTAAAACCAGCCAACCATGTATGCTTCCAAGCTCTAGCACTTATAACTTTTTATAGATATTCTTTATAGCCTCTGCACACTACGTGAGGCCAAGATTGAAACTTATTCATATTTCCCTCTATTAAAATGGAAGGGTTTTATCTCAGTATAGAATGCTGTAACAGAATAATAGGAAAAGGAGAGGAAAACAAACATGTATGTTAAAGTAGTTGCTTACTAGATGTGTGAATGCACTAAGTGTAGTATATCTTGACTTGACCAAAGCATTTGGCAAAGTACACCATGACATGCAATTAACAAGCTAACTATGATTGGGCTAAATAGCATGACAAAAAGTAATTTATACAGCTGATTTTTAAATCATACTTCTAGTGCTTAACAGTGGTACCCTTTCTCCTTTCTTCTCTCCTTCCATTCTTCTTTATCCTTCCTTTCCTTCCTTCCTCTTCCTTCCTTCCTTCCTTCCTTCCTTCCTTCCTTCCTTCCTTCCTTTCTCCCTCCCTCCCTCCCTCCCTCCCTCCCTCCCTCCCTCCCTGTATATATGTACACCAGAGATGCTACATGGGTTGGGAAAGTGTCACAGATTTTAGACACATTTTGTAAACTATCCCATTTGAGGTACCTTGTTCAAAAATTGTTGCCCTATGATGCACAGTTTGCCCAGCTAAAAGTCATGATAATAACTGTTTTTGTAGTATATAGATGCTGAACTTCATAACAGCAGGTGGAGGCTGTGAGGTTGATGTCTGGCATAAAATAGATTTGCTGATGGATTACATGGCCTTTTGCAATGGCATTTCTTGTTGACTTACCCTGAATTTCTTGTCCTTTATTAATATTTAGTAATTTGCATATGTGGGAGAGAATGAAATAGCAATGTGACACATGTATGTTCTTTTCAGATTCTATCTTAGTGATAATGTTTTCATAGAATTCTACTGGGAAATAATAGCAATAGCAATAGCACTTAGACTTATATACTGCTTTACAGTGCTTTTACAGCCCTCTCTAAGCAGTTTACAGAGTCAGCATATTGCCCCCAACAATTGCTGTAGTGGCTCCCTGTGGTCTTCCAGGTGCAATTCAAGGTGTTGTTTGCCACCTTTAAAGTGCTCCATGGCTTGGGACCTGGCTATTTATGAGACCGCCTTCTGCCACCGATAGCCTCCCATCGACCGGTACGCTCCCACAGAGAGGGGCTCCTCCTGGTGTCGTCAGCTAGGCAATGTCAGCTGATGACCCCCAGGGGGGGAGCATTCTCTGTGGGGGGGCCTACCCTCTGGAATGAGCTGCCCCTGGAGATTCGTAGGATTCACGACCTACGTACCTTTCGTCACGCCCTAAAAACATTATTATTCCAACAAGCAGGGCTGGCCTAAATAATAATAACATTTTACTATTTTAAATGGGGTGTTTTATTAGAGTTTTTTGGCCAATTTATTTAATTGTTTTAAATTGTTTTTAATTTGTATATTGTCATGGTTTTATTTTTGGCTGTACACCACCCTGAGTCCTTCGGGAGAAGAGCGGTATAGAAATTCAATTAAATAAATAAATAAATAAATAAATAAATAAATAAATAAATAAATAAATAAATAAATAAATAAATTTGTGTTCTCATTTTACCCACCTCAGAAGGATGGAAGGCTGAGGCAACCTTGAGCCTGGTGAGATTTGAACTGCCAAATTGCAGGCAGCCAGCAGTCAGCAGAAGTAGCCTGTAGTGCTGCACTCTAACCACTCTAACCATTATGCCACCATGGCTCATAATTAAGCTATCCAAACAAAATGGCTGATTCGTAGTAATGGATGAAGTTTTAGAAAGTTTTCGGTATTGTCACTTTCCCTGTTTAAGTACAACTTCAGATATGGCAGCAAGATGGTGGATATTTCTCAACTATTCAGTTTCTGCAAAATGAAGCTATGGAAAGCTCTGAAATGTGCTTTGCTTCAGTGCTGCTTGGGTGACAGAGTTCTGTCAACAGTTGTTGACAGAACTCTGTCCCCAACCCAGTGGTGGGTTGTCCCCGATTCGGACCAGTTTGCAAGAACCAGTAGTAAAACCAGTCGGAGGTCCAGCCCACCGCCCCGGATGTCATCATCAGCGATCTGCGCATGCGCAGAAGCTTGTGCGATCCCATTGCAAACTGGTAGTACTGGTAGTAAAGGTAAGTAGAACCCACCCCTGCCCCAACTTCTAAAAGAGGACTATGAAGTTGCTATATTGCCTTGAATATGGAGCTTCCTCCAGCGCTTTCTGTGACCTACAGGGAGTCCCAGAGAAGGTCCTGAAATAACAGAAAATACTTTAATGTGTCAGATTGCATAATCTGTTCTCCTTCATTGAGCTGACTTTTGAATTGCAGGCCTATAACCCAGGAGACTGTGAGTTCTAGTCCTGCCTTAGGAATGATAGCCGGCTGGGTGACCTTGGGGCTAGTCACTCTCTCTCAGGCCAGCCTCACAGGGTTCTTATTATGGGGGAGATTGGAGGAAGAAGGAGTATTAGGTATGTTTGCCCCTTGAGAAACTTATATTTATTGGTTCGATTTATATGCCGTCCTTCTCCGGAGACTCAGGGCGGCTTACAATGCGTTAAGCAATAGCCTTCATACTTTTTTATATACCTGCTTAGTAGGGCTTTCGGCCCCCCTAAGCGGTGTTCTTTTTTTAATACAAAGTCAGTTTATTGCCCCCACAATCCGGGTCCTCATTTTACTTACCTCGAAAGGGTGGAAGGCTGAGTCAACCTTGAGCCTGGTGAGATTTGAACTTGCAGTAATTGCAGGCAGCTGGTGCTACTTTAACAGCACTTTAGTCTGCTGCACCACCAAGGCTCTTATATTACTCTTATACAAAGTAATAAAGAAAGGATTTAAAAAGTCACATAAATAATCATAAAATAATTTGCCATATTTGCAGATATTGCCTTGCCTGATGCCATGCTGGAACATTTCCTGCAGATTTGCAGCAGCTTGAAGATTCTTCTGGGCACTGAAATCTTTGAACTTAGGGCAGCATAAAAAAGAAAAGAAAGAATCAAGATATAATCCTTTTAGCCAACTGTCAAAACTGATAAATAAAATAAGTCTGAGCCAAAGTGTTATTATTGGATTCCAGTAAGAACAAAGAAACAAAACAAGAACTCAAAAGGAAGGACAAGAAGCAACTTCTACTCTGATTTAACTTCAGATTTCCTCACATAGCCATATCCAGTTGGCTGTGTGATGCCACGATGTCAGTTCAGACTAAAGGAATGAACACATTTTTATTCAGGCATCTTACTGATTTCAGCTGAAATTATTTTAAAATAACGTTCAATAGCAATAGGAGGCACAATCATTGCCCATTACTAGGGCTGATGATAAAAGATGAAAAAGATAAGTGGAAAACACTCATTCTAATCTAGATGTTGAAAATTATGGTGATGATAAATAAATAAATACATCATCAACAAATGTGCAGCTCAGTCTGTAAATATATCTATAATGAGTCTTCTGTCTATTGCTGTTATTTTAGTGCCTACCAACTGTGCTGATTAATACATGAGGTGAATCATATTAGACTTTATTAAAGAATATTAGAAAAATTGTCTTGTATTTTAAGATTAACAAATTATTTTCCTGAAAGATCTCATATTAGATTAGAACTGAAAGTTGGAAGAAGACAGTTAGTAGCATATTTATACTTATTCTTCCTCAGTATTTAAAGAAAGAATACTGCAAAGTCCACATCACTTTTAGGGAAAAAAAATAGAAGTATATATTTCAGGTTTTATGGTATGAAAAGAAAACACAATATTGAATACTTAAAATACTTAATATTATATGATATATAATATATATATATATATCATTATTGTAAAATTTCACAACTGCTTTTCTTAGTTATTATACACAGAAAAAAAAATAACTGCAACATCAGGTAAAACTTAAATTAAGCAGTTAAGTATTATCCAAAGCACAACGTGCAATAAAGGAATAGAACAACTTAAAAGGTAAAGGTTCCCCTCACACATATGTGCTAGTCATTCTCAACTCTAGGAGGTGGTGCTCATCTCCATTTCAAAGCCAAAGAGCCAGCGCTGTCTGAAGACGTCTCTGTGGTCATGTGGTTGGCATGAGGAAACGCCAAAGGTGCACGGAACGCTGTTACCTTCCCGTCAAAGGTGGTCCCTATTTTTCTACTTGCATTTTTTATGTGCTTTCAAACTGTTAGGTTGGCAGAAGCTGGGATAAGTAACAGGAGCTCACTCCATTACACAGCACTAGGGATTCAAACTGCTGAACTGCCGACCTTTCAATCGACAAGCTCAGTGTCTTAGCCACTGAGCCACCACATCCCTTAGAACAACTGAAGGCAATGCCTAATTGATCCTTTAACAAAATGCCCACTGAAAGGAAAGTGATATTTTTTGTAGTCTCTGAATCGCAGCCTGGGATCCTGGACAAGAATTAGACAAAAGAGAAGCCAGAATTGTGAAACAGATCTTCTCTTCTGCAGATTGGAACAAAGGACAAAGGAGAAAATAATTAATGTAGAGAAGTGGAAAGGGACACCAGGAAATATTCACCACTACAGAAGAGAGACATTGTAAGTCCTTCACTTATAGGGATTTATATACTCATGATAACCAATTAGGATCAGGATTGAGGGGACAGAGTTTTCACCATTCTATTACCATCATGGTTGGGATTTTTTTACCACCCCGCTAAGAACACTTTTCATGAAATCCCCCTGAAAAATACCTTGAGCTCCTGGGATATAACTCCAAGAACTAAATGAATATGATCAATACTATATGACTTCTAGCTATTCCCAAACTTAGAGTTACATTCATGAGCCTTCTCTGGTTAAACTTTTTTCTAATGTAGTTCATGTTCTTGAGGAGGAAAGTCTGGGACAGAGGAGAAATGGGAGAGTGGAGAAGTAACCTGTTTCCTGATTAGGATGTCAAACTCCTGTTGCCTGAGCCACCTGTGATACCCGTGTTGTATGTTGACTGCATAGATTCTATCCAAATTAAGGGAAAGGGGAAACAGGAAAAAACAGCAATTATACAAGAACATAATCTAGCTCCATGCACACTGGCACAGCTGTGCATTTGAAAAGCTTATGAATATGGACTAGAGGCATTAGCCTCTCTCATATGCATTCCCACAAATATTTAAAACATGGTACTGTTGTAATATAGCTCCAGTACATCTCTCCTGTCCATTAATTTGCATAGGCTCCTTTGAAAACTGCCTAAAGTGCAGATGTGGCCATCACCACTTCTGATGTGTGAAGTACAAAAACACTTCCTTTAATCTTTCCTGAATAGGATCATCAAATATCTGCACAGGCAAAGGGGAAAAATCGATCATTAGAAAGAAGAACCAATGGGTGTAAAGAGTCTCATTAATTGTTTGACTTTCTTGGTATTCATAAAAAGATATATATTGCAAACAACTGAAAACATAGCCCTTCAGGCATATACAATTACTTTTCCAGCATCAGAAAGACTAGTTTTTCAACTCTTTATCTTCAAGAACATATACTAGCAGTAATAAAGAATTGACAACAATGTATTTTTAAAAATTTCATCATAGAAGTGTATGATGAGTCATGTGTCCTACAGATAATATTCATAAGAGATTTGAGGGGTAGATCAGGGGTGCTATTCAGCAGGTTCTGACAGGTCCTGGAGCACTGGTAGAGGAAATTTTGAGTAGTTCGGAGAACCAGCAAATACCACCTCTGGCTGGCCCCAGAGTGGGGAGGGAATGGGGATTTTGTAGTATCCTTCCCCTGGAGTGGAGTGGGAATGGGGATTTTGCAGTATCCTTCCCCTGCCATGCCCACCAAGCCACGCCCACAGAACTAGTAGTAAAAAATTTGAATTCCACCACTGGGTTAGATTGAAGTCAATCATTGGAATTAGGAAATAAATAATAAATGTTATTATTTATTATAATACATAATATTAAAAAGGAGCTTAGCAAGTTGAGGTGGTTGAGTCTGTCCATGGATGAGGGGAAAAAAGAACCAGATAATTTACAAGATCACCATAGAGAAAAGTTTGAATGGCTACTGTTATGAAAGCAGTTCAAACAGCAACTATTGAATGTGACCATTTAAACACAGATGAAATAACGCTTCCTGTGAACTATCTTTATCTTGAGCAAATGTAAATTTTTATGAGAGTAACCATGCTGTTTTACTCCCTCTAATATTTCAGTTCTACTTTATAATTTCACTGCATATATACCTGAAGATTTTTCTTTCTTTAGTCAGCTGTCAAAAGCAACTCTGTTCCTTCAGTAGATCTCTCTTTTCAGTTACAACTTTCTATATCTTTAAATTAATATTAAACTATTTAAAATTAATATTATGGTTTTAATCAAAGGCTTTAGCCCACAAACCCAAGCTATTTCTTCTCTATTAGCAACAGGGGTGAAGGGGTCTTATCAAAGTTTATTTGTTCATATCAAAGCTCTTATTTGATCTCCTGAAAGAGATTGGTGAATGCACAATTAAGAAATTCCTCGTATACGTCTTTCCCCAAAGGACAAAAAGAAAAAAACAACAACCTGCTAAGGCCTATTAGCTTTTCAATATATTTCTCACCTCAGGAAATGAATTAGCTTCCCAGGCTAATTTAGAAAAATATTTCATGCACATGAATATCCACATCATGTGTCACAGCCCACGATATCACAGGGTGGCTGTGTATTTGATTTAATCTGTTGAGGATTGAACAATCAGATAATTGCATTATAAAGGTCAAATAGTTATTTTAGCAGTTGCTATAAGCTTTTTATACACTCAGGTTCATGGTCCACATTGCCTTTTAGATTTTCCAAGATGGAGTATTCAGCAATCTGATAATCCTGCATCACTCTAAATATTGTCAGTATGAGGCCACACTGGGGTTCATCTGACATGTTGAGAGCTGCACTGCAGACACGAGTGAGACCAGATCCAATTTTGGGAGAAGAATTCAGAAATTTTAAGAAGACTGACAACCCATTAGACAGAAGATATTTTCAAATAAAGGACCGTAGTCTGATAGTTATTTATTACACTTTTATCCCATCTTAATTCCTTTATAAGTAACTCAAGGGGGCAAACATACCTAATACTCAGAGGTGGGATTCAAAAATTTTTACTACCAGTTCTGTGAGCATGGCTTGGTGGGCATGGCTTGGTGGTGTGGCAGGGGAAGGATACTGTAAAATCTCCATTCTCACCTCACTCCACGGGAAGGTTACTGGAAAATCCCCACTTCCTCCCAATCAGCTGGGACTCAGGAGTCAGAGAATAGATAGAGGTGGGGCCAGTCAGAGGTGGTATTTACCGGTTCTCCAAACTACTCAAAATTTCCACTACCGGTTCTCCAGAACTGGTCAGAACCTGCTGAATACCACCTCTGCTAATACTCCCTCTTGCATCTGTCTAACCTATCAAAAAAACAAACACCCTGTAATATGCAAATAGGAATGCAAGGAAGAAAATTGTAAGAGAACACCTATCCACTTTAGATGAGTTCAAATCACCAGGACCAGATGGTTTATACCCCAAGGTTCTGAAAGAACTGGCAGACGTGATCTCAGAACCACTGAATTATATTTTTCAAAATCCTGGAGCACCAGAGTACTACCAGATGCCTGGAAAAGAGCTGATGTAATTCCCATCTTCAAAAAACTGGGTCCAGGAAACTACAGACCTATCAGCCTGACCACAATACCAGGGAAGATTCAGAAAAAGACAATCAAGCAATGAATCTGTGAACACGTAGAAGGCAAAGTCATAACCAGAAGCCAACATGGATTTGTCAAAAAAAGATTATGCAAGACTAATCTTATTGCATTTTTTGACTATGGATATGCTATGGATATAATTTACTGGGATGTCAGTAAGGCATTTGATAAAATAGTCCACAACCTAACACCTGATCAGATAGAAAAATGTAGGTCAGCATCACCACCAGATGGCTGACCAATTACACTCAACGTGTGGTCCTTAATAATATGCCTACTTTGTTCTTTTAAAATTTGCCCAATGATTAAGTGACTTGTCCTATATCAAGGCAGCTTAACTAAGAAGCAATGCATATGGTAGCATCATCTGTAGAATTAAGAAAGCCTCAGGAGGATTTGGAATAAGTTTATATCCTTATTTTTGTTGCTGTTCATTCAACACACAAAGCCTTAAATAATGTATTTGCCTAACATACTGAATAAAACTACATTTTTGCTCGATACAACATTTTCATCAGGAATGCAACATAACATTTATCTTTAATGTAGTTGTTTGTTAGCATGTTGTCCAAGTCTTATATTTGTAGTTTATAGCTTATTCTAACATAGTAATTATTTTTTCACAGTTTTACTAACATTTTAATTTTAGTTCTCTAGAACAAGAGAAAGTTTCTTCCCCTGAGTTCCCCCCACCAAATATACCCGCTTCCCTGAATATTTAGCAACTCCACCGCCTATAA